TTGATAAAACAGGGTATGTTGTTATTCTACCATTTCCATCCCTCTCCCCCAGAGTCAATTGATTCCGTACGAATTCGATCCAAGCAGTCGTTTCTCATCTTGCGGTGCAGCAAGACCTGTTGGACTGCTAGACTCGTGCATGGATCCTATCCGCTAGTTTAGGCAATGATTTAATGATTAGAAATGAATTACCCTAGAGGGCAGCCGTTGAGCAGATGCTGGAAATGCTTAGCCCATCTTTCGAGGCGTTCCTTTTACACTGCCAGTGGGACACTCTTAACATCTTAAATATGGTCACATTGAGTTCCCTGTTTATCGACTCTTCGCCAGCCACCGTATCTGGCTGCCTAATCGATTTTCCTGATTTCCCCTCCAGTCAAACATCCATTTCTCGCCTGTAGTTCTAGCTGACTACACTGGTACTGCAGGGTGTTGCAAGTACTCATTTTTTACCTGATTCCTTTGCATTCTAAGGGCTAGTTGACCCTGTAACGGAGGGCAGTTTGGCTATTCTATTTCTGATCCCAGCTGCATTTATCGCCAAAAAATGACAGATTATTTGAAGTCTTTGCAAGGTTTATCTACGTTGCCACGTCCCGACACTAAGTGTGGCATTAAAATAACTCTGTACCTCCTCTTTGTATGCCGACTGCGCCGCTTCTTTATATTTTTGCCAGTCGGCATCGAGAAGCTGATGTGTTTCAAATAGACGATGTCAATGCGGTACGGCTAGTTTTGGCGAAGTTCCGCTATGACCGTACGGTAATCAGACCTAATTCAGGTGCCACACCTGACGCAAGTCTCGGGTAACGAACCGGTTCGCTTTCAGCTTATACAGACGTGGTTCAGCTAGATGTTAAGGCTTCCACTGAGAGGCGTCCGGGAGGTTTCGTGAATACGCCTACGAGAAAGAAAGGTCCTGCCGACGATTGAGCTGTTTGTCACGCAAAAGCTTAACAGACGCCTGTCGCTGTCATTGGAGCCGTCAGTAGGGAGACGGTGGAGTAAGCGTGGCCATGGGTGCACTCGGTGCCCTCCTTCACTTTGAGGTCGCCTGTGACAATGGTAACGTCGTGACGCAATAGAGCGCTACACCCGATTGCAAGTAGTCATAGAAAGCATATTTGTCGTTGCTACACAAAATGCATTTGTCGGCCATAAGCGACACTGACGTTCGGCGTCGTCTCTTTGACGTTCACACAACAGACCATCATTCTTTCCGACACCTCTTCTACAGAAATGGCCGCCCGGATTAGCTGAGGGTACAAGTAGATACCCACATCAGCACGGCGTACACTGCTGTGGCCTAACCGCCAAAATTACCACTCATGCTGCAAGTCAAGCACCCTCCCCCCTGGAGGCGAACCTCCGCGACCGCCACTACGGAGAGTCCGTACCGATGGGCCGTACGGCAGACATCAGTTGATTTACCTTCTCC